GTGTTGCCTATTATGGTAAACCTTGTCTTCCTAAAAGAGGATCCACCACATTCTATTCTCTCTGCACTCAAACTCTATATTCCTTCTCTTTTCCTCCCTAAGTCCCTCACTTTAGCATTGAAGGGGTTTTCCAGCCAACCCCGACCAGGCTGCTCTCACCGTATTCTTGCTCTTGCAAATCTCAGTACCTAGATACTCTAGTTTGGTTATGGAGCTCCGATTTATTCAACAACGTGAAATCCACTCTCGCTCAACACACATGATCTTTTCAATTGCAAACATTAGTGTGCTTACCCTTCTAGTTAATATTACGCACACAACTCACTTCATGTGAACACCCATGTCACGCATTTTTTCATATCCAAATTGCCCCCACATAATTGTCCAAGTTTTTTTTATTTTAAATTTTGATTTTTTTTGTTTTTTGTTTTTTTCTTCTCCATCTACATTCTTCTTTTTTTTCCTACACACAAATCACGTGTGTGCTCAACTTCTAGTCTAATAAAAAGGCAGCAGACATTTGGTCTTGACTTTATACAAACCAAGTGCGCAGAACTCTGTTCGATTGCATTCTGAGATGTTTCATTAATGGCAAATTAATGTTTTAGTTTCCAATATTTTTCAAGTGATGAACATTCTAAATACCATATATTAGGTACTGCAACAATTAGAAAAATGTTCACCAAAAATAAGAGAGTTTTCTAGGGGTCGTGTGTGTGCGTGTGCAATGGTTGGGGTTGAAGATCCCCCTAGTAGTCTCTCCATACCTTCCCCCCTCCCCCCTTCCCCAACTTCACAACAACCAACCAACGAACTATAGAAGACTAATGAAAGGCCCCTGTAGAAAAAAATCTTTACCCCACCTAATAGAATATATTTTACCCCTGGCACAATATAGAGACTAGCATGCTTTCAAGAACCCATATCACTCATTTTGATAATGAAGTACATGTAACATAAACACTTGATATGGAATATTGCAATTATATGATTTTGCAAAGTACAAAAATATAAAGTTGACAATATATGGTTACATACAATTCCCATTTTCATCATCACAAAAGCAATGGAAGTTCATAGTAGCTAGTAGTTCCTACTTAAATTAAAAGTGAACAATGAACAAAAAAATATAGTTCATATATATGGAAAGTAGCACACATGGGTTCAATAAAATATAATAGGAGCAAACATTACTACATGGAAACTAAGGTGGTTAACCATGTCAAAGACTCGACACTTAGGTAAGTGTGTGAGATAAGTGCCCAACTAAGTTGGACATTCACAAAATAAAAATAAAATATTTCGTATTTCGAGTACAGCATATAACTATGCATAAAACTCTATATTATGCATGGCACTGGTAAACCATTTTAATGATATTAGAAATATATTTCAATTAATAATTCAAGTAATTTTATTATTGTTAGGAGATCAATTAGGAATTTCATTTTTTTAGTTAATTATGTTAAATAAAAAATTTTGAGAATGGGGTATTTGTAATTTTTCAAATCACGGAGAGTAATCCGTATTTTAAGCAAACCTCAGGGGATATATTTGTAATTTACCCAAAATGAAATATATATTAAGAAATATGAATATTTTGTCATGTCTTGAGTTTAACATATAACTATGCATAAAACTCTACAAGAAGGCTAAGCCAACTAACGTGAGCAATAGAGAAGATCATGTGTGCTATGCAAAAGAAGAAGGCAGTTAAGAATTATTTTTTTTTCCTATATATATATATATGAATCTATGGCATAACTACTCTTGTGGGCATTTTCAAAAATTAATACAATGTTAAATGTCTACACCAATTAAGGTATAGACTTAATTTAATAGAATAGATATCATGCATGGCAGCTTGTAACACAGTTTTATGATTTATCTTAAAAAATAAGAAATATATTAAGAAATATGAATATTTGTTTGTGTCTCTGCGTCCTTGGACATGAAAAGTAAATGAATTCAACACTTCAAACACATACTCGTATTAGTACCACTATCTGAGTCCATATAACATAGTTTCACACTTAGCATCCATGCTTCTTTGCTACAATACTGTAATTCTAACTTATACATTATAGTCTTATTAAACTTTTACTAAAGTTCCCTGCAATATTTCCAAGTGTCAATGCTAATTTACAATTGTTTTTCTACTTTAATTTCGGTATTCAGTATTTCTTGATATGTCTATCAATATCTCCGGCATCTTCTTTCTTGGACAACCAAGAAGGTGGTTAGATGTATTTTCTTACTTTTGTTTCCCTTTCTTTACTATTATTATTTATTCTTTATTTCTCTCTTTTTACTTGGGTGGCATTACCTTATTGTCGAGTTTTAATGAATTTGATTACATATAAATAAATTATACTTGAAATTTGGAACTTCAATATGGCTTTTTAAACAATATTTCTTTATTGAGAGGTCACTCCTTCCTATGGAATTCTGGGTGAGATCCTCTTCTTGTTCCTCTCCATCTGAGAGGACCGGGCAAATTACTAATTAGGACTCACTATTAACGTCCTTCGAATAGCCTCTCTTTTAGGCCCAAAATACTCCACTATCAAGCCCTAAGAAATCTAACCCCTCCCTCCACCTTTTGACCTTCTAATCAACCACAAAACTATAAAACAATTGCTTATAGAATTTTTAGTTCCTTAAGTATGAAAATCCACCTCACCAGCCAATTGCAGTCCTTTTCAATCCCCAAGAGCTTCTTTTGACTTATTAAGCCCTAAACCTACAATCTTTTTATAACCTAAAGACCTATAACCCAATTGCAAACAGCAGCATCCATAATTTCCTACTCCAACATATTACATGGACTTTCCTATCACCCAAGTTATTCGTGTTGGCAAAACAAGACATGGACAAGAGTTAAGATACATGCAAGGACATGTACCTGAATTGTACACTTGGATCCTCTACCTTGTGATGATGGAACAGGAAGTAGAGGCTCAGGTTATACAAGAGAGAAGGGGTTATATTAGAGTATTTCATAATATAAAGATTTTATGCATAGTTTTATGGTAAACTCGAATTACTAATTATGCATGTTAGATAAATGTACAACTATACATGTCAGACGCATATCTCATATCCTTATCCAAATGTCAAGTGTCCGACATAGGTACATTATACATTTAGAAGAGTCCACATAACATAGGGTTAGAGAGAAATAAAATAATTTTCTACTACATCCAATTTAGTTTCAAGTATATATTTAGATAATAATGATAATCAAAAATTGCAATATTAAATAAACCTAAGAAGCAACCTGTGTTAGAAGCATGTCAGATAGAAAAACTCGTTAGACATGCCTCAAAATGCGTGTCCGAACATGTCTTATTTCTTTTTAGAATAGGGCATGCTTCAAACAATTGGGGGGCAAGCATGTCTATTGGTTACACAAACATGAAACACATTGCAAGTTTAAACTAACTTGAGAGCCAAAAGCAAAAATTAAAACAATGTGGATTTATAATTATTAATGCCTCCTCATTTAAGCTTTTTTATTTGAAGAATCCTAGAGTGCAAAACTTCCAATTTGTTTGGTAATAAAGCTCTTTAAAATAGATATTACACATTTTGTTCAAACTTTTTCAATATATAATATAATTGTGGAAAATGATTTTTAACCAAAAAAAAAAATAGACATGAGACAACAAATCCAATTTTCATTAAGATTTTGTTACTTAAAAAATGAAATTGCCATTATTTTCATGTATATATAATATAAGAATATATAACTATTCATTCCGATGTACTTGTCTTATTTTCTAAAAATTACTGTGTCAATGACACATTATATTGTATGTATGCCCTGTGTGTGTATTTCTGCTTCTTATAATAAAGAAAATATACTTATATGTCAAAATGTGTCCGCATCCATGTATGCAACTTTTGGACTCATACCCTAGTACACTTAGGCCATGTTTGTTTGGATGGACTAGATTAGATGGGATTAGCATTATTAGGACTATTAATCCTACGATTATCAATCCCTTTGGATTGTGTATCTTATCTTATGTTTAGATTGACTCAGGATTATTATTAGGGATTGGCAAAATCCTTCTAATTTTGCAATTTAACAAATTAGTCTAAACCTCTCCTTAGTCCTCCATTTTGTATCCCACCCCTCTCTAGGGATTCAATAATCCCCCATGTGAGGGACACTATGTACGAATGGACTACTAGTCCAAACTCCAATTTTCTTCGCCAAACGTTGGATTATACATTTTATCAAATTATTAGTCCAATCTCAAAGCCATGTCCGCCCAAACAAACATGACCTTAGAATCAGGGATTAGAACCACATCCACAATCAGTATTAGTATCTGAACCATATCACTAGATACTCTCTTCATTTGCTATCTTGGGAGACATAAATGTCAGTCCAAAAAAAAATCAATTTCTTATTAATAACGAAAAGTTAGCCATCAAAATATTTTCTCTCCTCAAGCAATATGGAGGCTATAATTCACATCCTCCGAACCTTTTTATTGTTTGCAATCTTTCCCATTTACTTCAACAAAACTCAATATTGTCAAAAAAGGACACTATACTTATGAAGATGGTTTTCCATCTGATAATTTATGATAAAATAAGTAATCACCAAAGTTATTTGTGCAACTTTTTGGTGCACATATGAGACAACACAATAAACAGGTGGTGTTCATTATCTTTCTTTTAAGAAAGTTGGAACAGTGTAAATTTATTGCTCAATTTCAGACCTAAAAACAAAAACCGTGCCACATGCATAAAATTAACTTGAGTATAATTATTGTTTTTCAGTCAAATCAACAGTAAAAAGCAGTATCCACCTATTTCGCTAGAACTTTGAGTTTGAATTGTGTAATTATCAGAAGTATGACTTTGTATGTGACTATGATTCAAATTTTGCCAACAATGACAAGAAAGTTCACACAACCATAGAACTCATATCTTCTACATACTTTATAATCATATGTAGCATTAATACAAGTGACAAACATTACCTGTGCAGCATGAGAAATATTAATGTACGATGGAGAATGACTTTGTTCTTCTCCATCTTTCCATCTCTTAGTAAAACTCCTCCTGGCCCTGTTCCCATATGTGAACCATAAAGTACCCAATGACCCAAAGACGTTCATTCGGCTGTAGTACCCTCTCAACTTGTTATTGTGGAAGAAGCTTTTGCCAGTGGCCTCATTAGCCTCCAGATCCCAACTCCCATCTTCACCATGTCTATTAGAAGCAGCCTCTTGAAGAGAAGGTGGTTCTTCAACACTTGTTTGTGTGGAATAATGGGAGCCCACCTTCCTTAATTTATTCTCCATTAAATCAATGTTGTGGTCTAAATGCACAAACCCATTCATATTTAAGTTCTCACATGTCTTGTGTTCAACAATCTCATCATTTGAACTGCATGCTGTTGTTGGATCAAGAAATCTTCTCAAGATATTACTATCTTCCAAGTCATGGTGTGTAACTTGTTCTTTTGGATTTTCTCCTGAAAGAAACAATGCCAACCGGTCTTGTTCATCCAAGTTCACCCACTTGGTGCTTTTCAATAAATCACCCACTGGTGTGTCCACCAAGCTTTTTTCCACATTAAGTATTTGTTCACTAATGGCTCCGATAAACTGCCTGTGTCTGGAAATCACATTTTCCCTTGTGTGAGACTTGTCCAACGTAGCTGACAGATTTACCTCTCTTTCAAAATCTTCCAACTGCTCAAGGGAAATAAAAACAAAACAACATTCAAAGATAAGCTACCGATAGAACATAACAAAAAAATAATTTTGAGATAAGCACCTGCCATTTTGCTGTCTCCAGTGTAGTTGCAAGATCACGCTTATGATACACTATTGACTTGAGCAGCTTCGCATCTGGATGGTCTTCTTGAACAAGACTTTGCTCATGCAATAAAAGACGAAAAAGCGATTCCATCCTATATTTTTAACCGAAGGCAAAACTATCGATATGTGTCATAATGCTACCACATGAATGCAATGATAAAATACAAAATAGAGACAGGAAATAATTAGACCATCCATATAAATTATGTTAATATTTATTTTATGAGTTTAGTTATTAAAAACAAAATTGTAATTTCCTTGCTTTATAGGCTAGAAAGCAAAAAATATAAAAACAAAGCTTTGCTAACGAACTTCAATAGAACTTTTTAAAGCAAGCAAATTTGAAAGAACTAAAATTAAAGAAAAATCTAACTTGTGTACTTGTAACCAAAAAGTAACAATAACATGACCAATTGTTTCATAGATAACACGAGCAATGTGAAGATCTACTATTGCTACTCCTATTTAATTTCTTGTGTATGTGCTTACACAATCTGTATCTATGGGAATCTCTCCATTTCATACAAGAAATTAAGAGATCTAGTCAAATAAATCTGGCTGCATTCAGAAAAATTAGCAGCCACGATTTTTTGTATCATTAAAATTCAAATAAATGTGTGTCTAGCAATCACACTTCCACCTTTGAAGAGTGATTTCCCATCATGCTTTCATTAGGAAAGCGTGGTTTCTTGCTTTAATGATTTCCAACTAAGCTTTTAGTGATGCAACAAAATCATGGCCGCTTGTTTTTATAGCAAATGGTAATGATCTATTCGACTGGACCTCTCCATTTCCTCAATGAAATGGGGGGATCGAACTTCTCTTTTTGGCCTCTTTTCTTTTCTTTTCTTTTCTTCTTCTTCTTTTTTTTTCTTTTTTTTTTTTTTTTTTTTTGAGGTGTCATCGTACTTTTTCAAGTCCCAAATTGCCCAGCCAGTTGAGTGAAAGCAACATTCAAATTCAGGTAAAGTGATGATAACATGCACCACTTATATATTTGTATAGAAAAAGAGAAGGCAAAATTTTGGAAAAATTGCATTTAAGTGAAAACAGCTCATAGTAATTACATTTTCATGGAAGTGCAAGTCGAAGCAAGTGAGAGTTGTGTCTCATGCCTCACTTTCACTTGCTTGCACCTCCATGAAAACGTAATTACTTTGAGTTATTTTCATTTAAATGCACTTTTCCCTAAAGTTTATTTGCCCCTCAAATTTTGTTCAAATGTATATGTGATACCCAACTTTCTATTCTTCTATTTAAGCTCTCAAACTTTTAAAAATCAATGTAGTTCAGCCATTAATGGGGGTGACAAAAGCTATCCATGTGACCATGTCATCACAGGTTTCCTAATTGAACAATTTTTTTTTTTTTTAAGGGGAAAGAAATTGTCTGAATGAGAGAAATAGACATGAGGATATAGAACCAACAACAATTTCATGAGAAATTCAGCTTCAGTTTAAGGTTTAATATATGACAAATTACTTGTTTAATTCAATAATTACATAAGCCTTTACTCCATATTAAGTAAATAACTATCACTTTCATTAACAAATTAGAATAATGACTTTTGAAAATTCAAGAGCTCAAATAAATAAAAAATAAAAAATTTAGAAGATTGAGGATGGCACTAAAATATGAAGTAAAACTCAAGGGACAATGCCCTAATGAGTTGAACAATGGGAAGCTAAAATAAGAGCACCAATAGGGCTGCCCTAAACCATTTGTTATTATATATGGTACCCAACTCATTTTTAGTATGAACAAGTTGTCACATAATTTTGATTCCCAAAAAGCCTAGAGCAATACTATATCTCCCCAAATATTTACTTCACCTAACAGTTACTACAAGGACTAGAAAGTAAAAGGGTATCTATCACTAAGGTTGCATTTGGACTATGAATTATTTCGGTTTTCTACTAGCAGCGTCAACTATAAGCCCAGCTTTATTTATTGATATGAGCAAGATACGACTTATTTGAAATTAATTGCGCGTCTCTGTTTCCTTCCTCCGGCACACTCTACATCTGTCCTCGAGCTATCCAAGGGATTGAGTGATTCCCCGAAGGGAACGGGTAACGACTATTTATGTTTCATTCACATTTCTTCCATCTTTTCCCTTTCCTTTACCAAATCTGTACCCAAAACTATCGCATCCACTACCCACATGTTGGTGTATCTACACTTCAATTAACTATTTTATATTTATATATATATATATATATTTGAATCTGAAGTATAAGCAGTGAATGAAGTTGTCAGTGGCTTGAATAAGAAATCATTAATGGCGTAAATGGGAAGAAAACTGACCTGTCGGCTGAGTCTTGAACGACCTCGGCGGCAGAAAACAGCGGGTCCGATTCCCATTGGCGGAAACTCGACGCCATTTCCACCGCAATTCGCTTTAAATATTGGCCAATTTAAGAGTAATGTTTACAAAATCAAACTGTAACTGAAAAAAATAAATAAATAAATAAACAAACATATATATATATATATATATTAAAGATTGAAGATGGGGTTTAATACAAGCTTAGAATGGACAAAGATTGGGAAGAAAAATGTAAGGAATTCATTGAAATTCGAGTCTCGGAGTTGAATGAAACTGTTGGATTCAATCTGTGGATAGCTCGAAATGTATGTATATTTAATATTATTTTTTTTTAGGGTTTAGGGTTACGAGGAAGAAGGAAATGAGAGAGAGAGAGAGAGAGGGGGGACTCGAAAACAGGTAAAGGTCGAGGAGATGTCTCTGTCGCCGTTTTGATTAGATGGGGAGGTTCCCGAATACACTCATTCCTAATTTTGTCTTGTCTAGTCTTACCACACATCTACCTTAGCATCCTCATCTCAACCACACTCATCTTATCTACTTGTTGTTTCTTGGTTGCTCAACACTCTGTCCCATACAATATCGCTGGTCTAATAGCCATTCTATAGAACTTACATTTTAGTCTAGTGGGCATTCGTTTATCGCACAGTACCCCAGACGCACTTCTCCACTTACACCATCCCGCTTTAATTGTATGGGCCATATTCGCATCAATCTCCTCCACTGTTGTGATAATCGACCATAAATAATGAAAATGTTCACTCTTAGGCAATTCTTGGTTCTCAATCTTCACTTCTCATCTGCTTTCATTATTATTGTTACTAAATTTACACTTTATGTACTCTATCTTATTTCTGTTTATTCGGAAACCATTAAATTCAAGCATTTTTCTCCAAATCTCCAACTTTGTATTAATTCTTTCTCTAGTCTCATCCACTAGCACGATATCGTTTGCAAAAAATATACACTTATCAGCCACTAAAAGATGGGTACTAATAGCTCTAATATTGGTATGAGTCCCACATGATAGGGTGTTTTACTTTTGTATTATTATTATTATTTTTTTCTTTTGATTTTCTAACCCATTAGTGTTAGTTTAGTGATACAAAATTAATAGTACCAATCATTGTTGTTCTTGGCAGGCCAAAATTTTTTTTGAATTATATCAACTAGGGGTGGGCGCGGGTCGGTTGCGGCCATAAAACCTCCAATCCGTCATCCATCCGCCAGATTGGCGGATTGAAAAAAATCAATCCGCATCCATCCGCCAATCCGGTGGATGTGGATTGAGCGGATTGGCGATTTAACGGATGGATGCGAATCGGTTTGGCGGTTTGAAATTTTATAAATTTTCAATATAGTTCAACTTGTGTACTTCCTCAAAACAAAAAAAAAAGTATTACAGTCAATGACTTTAAAAAGTATTATAATTACTACATGTCTCATCCAAAGAAAGAAAGTTTGAAACTTTAGAATAACACAATCACTGCGTGAAAGTTTGAAACTTTAGAATAACACAATCACTGCGTGCCTCATCCACATATTACAATCACAGCATGCCTCATCTACATAAAGTATTACAATCTGTGGTTCTTAAAATATAAAAACAATTCAAACCACGAAAATCATGAACAGATCAATAGCAGAGATCGTATATCTCTGTATTGTTACATTTATATATGTTTTTGAAAACAAAAACCAACCAGCATATATCGTATTTTCTATTTATTACTTTTAGAATTAGATTTAAAAACCAAAAAATATAGATAAATAATACGTTTATTTTTTTCAATTCAAAAAATATATTCAAGTTGAAAACTTTTTTTCAACAGAATATTTGAACTCTTTTTCAATTGAAAACACAAACAAAATATTTAAACAAATTAAAAACACAAAGTCTTACAAATTACTAAGGGTGCTTGCGGTTTGGAGGTTCGGTTGCGGACAAAAGAACCTCAAATCCGCCATCCGTCCGCCAAATTGGCGGATTGGAGAAAATCAATCCGCAACCGTCCACTCGTCATCACGCATCTGTCCAAAATGTTGCGGATCGGTTCGGTTCGGTCGATTTTAGCGAATCAGTATATCCGCTGCTCACCCCTAATATCAACTCTTTATTTTCTCTTTATATTTTTTTTTAAAAAAAATTAAGAAGTTAAAAAACAACTTTAAACTTATTTTTCAAAACAATCCTAAGGTTTTGTTTGGCATTGATTTTTTAAACTAAATTAATCACAAGAAGAAAAAATTGGCTAGAAAGTCAATATACATCTATTTGGTTCTTTTGATTCTTGCTCGAGCCAAATGATGAAAAATTATCATGTCCGGTTCCTTCGAGGGATGGAGCTATAAAAAGATAAAATGTCATATTCAAATCATAATTATTTTATTTTTTCTCTAACAAAAATTTAAAAAAATCAAAAAAGTCAAACTAAACAAACTTTTTAATCGAAAATAAAATAACTAAAAAATCAAAAAAATTAACTAAAAAAGTCACATGCCAAACGGCAACTAAAACAAACAACATATAACAAAATAACTTAAATGGCCAATCCAATAATTATACAACAAATTACAAACAACAAAAAACAATAAATTTGTCAAAAAAATTAATTACGATTCAGGAAAAACTACCGATCTTTTCATAGGTGTGGTTTGAAAAACTAGATTTGTATCAAACCAAGTAAGATCTACATCAACGCCCGCCATCGTCATCATCGTCACTGCCCAACTTTGTCACCGTCGCCATTGTACTTCAAGCACTGCCAAAAGCTAAAGTTGAAAAGGAAAAACACCCATAATGATATGAGAGAATGAAGAAGCATTGTGATTGTCGAAAATCTAAAAATCTATGCCGGAACCAAGGAAGAAACACTCAAAACTCTTATTTCATACATGAAATGCCCAGATCTATACTATAGAAGTGCAAATCTACACTTTAGGAGTGTATCTTTTTTTCTTTTTTTTTTACTTTGACCCTTCATGTTTTTATTTATTTATTTTTTCAATTTACTCCTAAGCCAAACTTTTACTCAAAATTAGACCAAAATGTCACGTTAGCTATCACATGACATAAAAAAAATATTATTATATTATAATTTGGTTTTGAGTCAAAGGTTATATAAAAAAAATTATCAATGTGTCGTTTTCTATCTAATTTTGGACTTAAGTTTTTAGAGTAAACCTAAGAAAACTTGAAACATGAAGGGTCAAAGTGAAAAATAATAAATAATAAAAAATAAAAAAAAAACCTTCAAAGACCAAATGAAAAAATAGCCAAACATAAAGAGAGCAAAATGTAGCTTACCTTTCTTTGTTTGTGTGGGGATGTATTTTTAGGGTCGTGCATGTAGACTCAACTTTCTTCGTGCACCCCCATTTAGGAGAGGCGCGAATTGGTCCTATAGTTCAGACTCCTGTCACGGTTCTAAATCTAATCTCACAAAGTGCAATGTGAGACTGATAAACACCAAAGAGTCCAATCCGGCAAGTCATTTTAAAAAATCAGATTTTAAATCAAATATTGCCAAAACTGGACTACTTTGCCAAATTACAGAGTTGCCACCTAAATATTTTTTGGGGGGAAATTTAGGAAACCATGACTCGTGCCAAAGGCCACGTATCCGTTATCACCAAAGTTGCCTCGGTTCGAGAACTTGGGTACGAGAGGGGAAGGTCCTGAAATGAGCACCCCCACTCGCCCGATCAAAGATCGGCCTCTACTAAACATGATATGTTGTGTTTATAAACAAATGTGTTCTTATTTTGATTATTATCTAACTTTACTATGTGACGCACACACAAGTATAGACTAAGTTGCAAGATTTGGAACAAAACAACTCATGTTTGTTTTTTAAAATGGTTTGAAAGTGCCACCCTCAAGTGGGCTTAAAAAAACTCGCATTTATCGAATTGTTCCAATTCAAGCAATAAAGCCTTCATCCACAGGCATTCATGCAGTTAATCACTTAAGCAAATAGTTTCATGGCAAGCATGCTATCATGGCAATACTCACACTCATGCAAGTGTGCTAAAGCGTAAAACTTACAGTGTACTCCAAGTCAAAATAAAAACTAGTTAGAAACAATACATGATCCTAACTTTACAAGATGTCTAATGCAACACATGCAATAATGCAATAAGATAGGCTCGGCTACCCAAGATGGCATATGAATGCTACAATTCGATAACATGCTTTGAAACACATATTCAAATAAGTACTGAAATACAATGCAGTTTGAATGATGCGCCGAGCCCGGTGCATGCAAGACAAATGAATGATGCACACATGCAAACATAAGGTATGCTAATCGAAATATGTCCCTAGTCTAACCATCGAAAGCGGATAAATAAAATGGAGAAAGACGTGGGGTTGGAAGACATGCATACACGCACGCGCAAACTTATTACAACATTGCGCCCTCACGAAGGAGGGTCTGAATGAATAAGCTAAGCTAATTATTACAAACCAACTAATTAACTATTCTAGTTAACTAATTGTTGCAACACAATTGAAATTGAATAACTAGCTGCACAAACTAATTAAGTACAATACTCGAATCAAATAATTAGTTACATCTAACTAATTAAAGCAAGTAAAGTGGCCTCGCGGGCAAGAGAGACATGCATGCTCGGTTAGCTTCCTCCCGAAAATCCATCGCCTTGCCGTCAGTTGTCTCTGTTTGCACTTGCCTTGATTTCTGAAAATCATGCCAATCTCCAAACTGCCTTTGCTTCAAAACAAGAACATTTTTGCACCAAAATGGACTGGTGGCTGGTCGGCCACAAAAAGTGGCTACTGGCCGGTCGGTTAATGCAAGTGGCCGGTCGACTACTGCCACTGGCCAGTCAGCTACCTCCTTTCCCAAACTCCTAGTTTTGTTACAACAAAGAACAACAGAGGCAAGACAATGTATTTGCAAGGAAATGTGTGTACTGCCACTCTCTTCATCATGTCTCGAGCTCAAAGGAGTATGGCACTCGGCTCTTAAGCCACCAACTGAGCATCTCAATGCATGATGGCCCAAAAACCAAGCTTGTACAAGCTTAGTGAATGCACAAACAAGACTCCAATGGCCACCACCCTATCATGCATGATCAAGGGTAATGGCGACCAAGAAATGTGATACGTTAGTCGAGGACACCATTCTCGGTGGAGTTGGATGCGTTCGACACACCAAAGAGATTCAGCATATCGAGATTCTAGATTTATGATGGTAAGTCAGACCCAAACTTCCATGTTGTTTTATATCTAAATGCAATGGCTCTGTGGGATGGGAATGAGTAGTTATTGTGCAAGATGTTCCCATCGACATTTGAAAAAATAATGTCAGACTGGTTCCACAAATTGTCGAAGGGATGTATGAAAAGCTGGAAAGGCTTGAGCGTAATGTTTGTGTTCAAGTTTGTTATAACCAGATTGCAGCCATTGAGGGTAGATT